ACTTGCAATGAACATATTATCTATGTTATATTTGTGTAAAATATAAAAGAAGATAATTAAATAATATTATAATATTATTAATTATTAGCCAATATTTATAAATACAAAATTTTTTTTTTAATTTACAAATACAAACATTACGTAGATATTTAATGTATATTTGTAAATTAAAAAAATAATAATAATTTTGTATTTAAATATATTTCTTATTTAAATACCTAATTTACTAGATATTTAAATATGCCAATTAAATTTTTAAGTATTTAAATAGTTATATATTCAAATATATTTCTTCAGAACTAATCGTTTAAACCTGTATTTAAAAAGCGAATTACGCAATTAAAATAGATCAAAGTTTCAATGAAATTTAATAATTTATTCACTAAAACTGCAAACAATTGTCTTTTGTTTTTGCTTTCTTTCTACTATACTGCAGCCATTTTTCAAAACGCCTTTAGGTAAAAAAAATCAATTTTGACATTTTTACAAAATATGCTAGTTTAGATGTCTACAAACCTTATTGAATACATATTTTCAAAGAGTTCTAAAAAAATTCATAAAAATAATTAGTTTCAAAAAGCGTTTTACAAAGAGTTTTTACCAATAACTTTTTTTAATTGCGCTTTTCTTGAAATATGTAATTAAAGCGTAATTAAATGTAACTCCCAGCAAAAATAGAAAATTTATTTTGATTAAAATTCAATTGCAGAATGTAAGGACCTTTTTTTTTTTTTTTTTTAGCCGCACCTAAATTCCCAATTTGCAAAAACGCTGTATGAAAATTTTTCCTGGGTAACACCCTGTGTATATATATATATATATATATATATATATATATATATATATATATATATATATTGCATTTTTCTGTTTTTCCAAGATCAGGTTTATACAAACTACTTAGGAATCGTAAAGTGACTATTAAAAAAACTGCAGTCTGTTTAAAACTGTGTAGCAAGACTGGTATTTAAATCTAGAATAGAAAATCATTATACAATTTAATTCACTACTCTATGTCAGAAAGAACACTAAAATTAAAGGAAACAAAATGCAACAATCATTTTTATAATCGAACACTATCCCACTATGGTCCTAAACTTTGGAATATACTTCCAAATAACATCCGTGACAAAAAAAACACAACTATTTATAAGAAAAAACTAAAATCTTATTTAATGATGAATGGTGAACTATTCCACCAGAAACCTTTTGAATGTTAATTAAAATCTCTTGAACATTATTATTGAAAATTTTTTACTAATATAATAATTTGTTGCACAGCTGAGCAAGTGTTTTATTCATTATTGTGGCAAAACACCGTAGCTGTGGGTAAACATATGTATTTATTTATTTACCAAAACAGAAAAAAGCAAACAAAATTTGTTTATTTATTAGGGTTGCCATTATAAATACGCCCTCATTCTACATCCTGGATTTGTTGGATTTCATTTACTTGGATTTTCTTTTTTAAGCATAAAATTAGTGTCTGGGTAAATAATAAAATTATTTTATAGATAATCTCTAACCGTTGAGAAAAACAAAAAAAACGAGTGTGGCTACTAATTAAAGATATTTGGTAAAAAAAATTGTGTATACTGGGTGTGTTTAATATTCAAAAAATCTTTCAGTGCATTTTTTAATTTGTTATTTATTTAACTTATTTGCGCGTATTTTGAGTTTTTAGTTGATATGCCTTAATGCAAATGCAGACTTACATCTGAATTAAAAGAAAAATTTGAGTGTTTTAAGCAGGGTCATGATGACTGAGAAGCAGAATGTTTAATTAAATTTGGCATAATGGTACATTTATATCTGTGGTCAACAAAAGCAAAGGTGACTTGGAATATCACATAAATTCAAATAAGCATAAGAATGATGTTAGAAGCAACACTTTATCACATCCTATTGTGTAAAAGCAGGCAGTAAAGAAGATTCAGTTGCTGCAGCAGAAGGTACATTTGCTATTCACACTGTTAGACACCATCAAAGTTACAGTTCTTTTGATTGCACTAGCAACCTGTTTGAGAAAACATTTCCAGATTCTGAGATAACCAAAAAATTTTGTAGTGCTAGCAGGCTTAGACAGGAATGGCGTGCGATCGAGCACTATTGCTGACCACGCAAATGATTTTATTTTATGACAACTTGACCACAATCGTTTATATATTTTGATTTAAAAATTTCTGAAATCTGAATGTAGCTAAGCTAAGCTAGGAATAATTTCCTAGCTTAGCTAAGCTAAGCTAGGAAAAAAATGAGTTTAAAAAAAAATTTAACAAAAAAAAAACTCCAAATGAAAAAAAAAACAAAAAACAAATTCATAACAAAAAAGAAATTATTTAAACACTAAAATAAAAATAAAAACTTGAACTCAAAGCGAAACTTTTTGTTACATTTTAAATTACATATGAAATATAAGTTATTAAAGCTTATCTTTTTAAATGTTATTAAAGTTACGCAAAACGTTTTTAAATTAAGTAACAAATTACTACTAATGATTGTTTAATAAATGAACAAATTTTATTAAATTTATTAAAAAGTGTTGTATATAATACTTTTAAATTGTATAAGCATTTATTTTTTCAAAAAAGTTGCAAAAACAAATTGTTTAAAAAAATAACGTAGCCTTTTTAAAATTGTAATTTTTAATAATTTCATGCTTTAATTAGTAAGAATAATTAAAAAAAACTTTTCGTAAAAATATTCGTAAAAATAAAAAAAATAAATAAATAAATAAAATGCACCTGCCATTTAAATAAAATAAACTGCCAAAAAGCATTTTAATTTAATTTTAATTTAAACATTACAACTTTATTAATAAGCGCTTCGCATAACAAATTTAAAAATTATTATAAAAGATTTAAATTTAATTATTCCTAACAAAATTAAAAAAAAAAGTTGTATACAAAAAATAAAATGCTTATTTAAAACATTTTTAAAAAGTCTAATTATAAAAATTAATAGTATGAACGTTACAAAATGCTTTAAAACTTTTTAATTAATCACCAAAATACATGCTTATATAAGCAAATAAAGTTATTTTATATTCTTGTGTAATTCACATAAAATGTGTAAAAGCTTTTGAATTTATTCACAAATTAAAATAATTTAAAAAAATTCTTTCTAAAAATAATGGTTTAAAAATGTTTTAGAAAGACATAAAAAAATAGTTTCAAACATTTAAATTTATTATAAAAAAAACATGCCTACATAAAAAAAAAAATTATATATAACGTTTTTTATTTAATTACACATTCATTTATGTGAAAAATAATTAATTTTATGGTTTTATTTGACTTCGCATAAAATAAAAACTTTAGAAAAGATTAACAATTAAGATATATTTATAATGCAACACTTTTTTTATTGCATTCAAATTTTAAAACATCAAAATAGCTATGGTCAAGTTGTAAAGAAAAAAAAAATTAGCATGGTCAGTTACATAGTGCGATCGCACGCCATTCCTGTCCAAGCCTATGAACAAAAACAGAAGCTATTATTAAGAACAAAAACAGAAGCTATTATTAATAATGTGCTGGCTCCACGTTCAGTTTAGTTAGCTATAAAGCCATTTGAATCAAATGGAATACCATTTTGTGGAGTATCTACAGATGTTAGTAACCATAAAAGTATAAAAAATGTTTCAATTTTTCAATATTTTTATTGGAAAAATGGTGGAACTCAATCTATTAAAATCAACAAGAAAGAGATAAAATTCAATCAATCAATCAAAAAGGAAGATAAAAAGATGAAACATCTAAAACTATAAGTGATCACATAACAAAATTTTTGAAAAAACTAGGATTATATGACAAGGTGACAGTGACAGATTAAGACTTCTTGGGGAAGTTAAGATAGTTAACTGTAACTTTGTTGAAGTTGAATACAGACAGTTATTGTCCCACAGAAGTACACAATGACTTTCACTCTTACCAGGTATTACACGGCTAATTAAAATGTTTCTTGCTTAGAAATCATATTTTATTTCACAAAGTCAAACTCAAATACTACTCAAAAAAATTTTTTAAGACTTCCTTGACTGTATATGACTTTAGTAAATTATACTAATGCTAAGTACATTCTCTGATGAGTATTTTCCAAGAAAATATCCTAAAAAATATATATATATATATTTTAGCCTTTGAGGTGAATGTAGTTGGCAATTAATAAATTACTTTGAATGCTTTTCTTGGATGCTACTGAATGAAATACTAAAATGGGAAAGTATAGAAAACTGCTTGCATTTCTTAGATGACAGATTCATTGAAATTGATGATGTAAAGTGCTTTGAACAATTTAGCAATGTCTAAGTGAAATTAAACGAATCTGCTTATGACATAGAAGAATATTTTAGTTCTTTAACTGAACTAAGCGGAATAAATATTTTGAACAATCTAAGAACAGTGAATGTCACTTACAGCTATAAAAACTTCTAAATTCTTTTTTGCAATAAGGGCACAATAATGCTAATGTGGAAAAATGATTTTCTTTTATGAACATCCAATGGTCAAAAGAAAGAAGTAACTTATCAGTGGAGTCAGTAAAAGTAATTATTTTAGTGATATATAACTTTATAACATATACATGCAATGAATTTTATGATTATTAAAAACAAATGCAATAATACTGAAAAGAATTAAAAGTAATGCAAAATATGACTGGGTAAAAGAAGATGAACAACTTTCCTGACTAATGATATTTTTTTTTTTTTTCAAATACTTTGTATTATTAAATATTTTGAATTTGATTTAAGGTATCATGTGCCTCTTTTTTGGGAATGTGAATACGGTAACCATATTATTTATAGATCGTTACTTATAGATATCGTTTGTATAACGATTATATCGATGCGGGAAACTCGTTAAGATATATGTTATTATTGTTGTTGTAGTTATTATTGTTATTATATTAATAAATAACTGTTTCGTTTAATAAATCATATTGTTGTTTTAGTATAGTTACTTATAAATAATAATAATTCATAATGTAATTCTCCTTACTATAAGGTTCCGCTTTTTTGAATTCCACAAATAAATACAATATCATAATTAATAAAACACTATTCAGCATTCTAAAATGTTTATTAACGTAACGTAAATAAAAACTGCCAATTATTTGGAATTTTCTGAAGTTAAAATATTTAAAGCCGTTAAAAATTTGTCCTACAAAAACAATTTATTTTTTAAATGCGCCGGAATGTCAGATATATAGTAAGCCTTTGTTAAATGTCAGTGCGTAATGATGTCCAAGTTTTTTGTATTTTTTTTTTTTTAATTATTGTTATCATTATTTCACCATCAGTTATAAATATTAAATATAATCTTATTTAAATTTTTTTTATATACCTATCTATTTGTTTAAAATTATATTTTTGAACGATGTACAGAATCAACTTAACCAACTTAAGTTTAAGTTATGATTCTAAAAAAATCACATATTTGTACTTAACCAACTCAAGGTTAAGTTATGGTTCTAAAAAAATCACATATTTGTTTGTTTATTTCATAGTTGTGTTTCACATTATAATCTATAATATATCTATGCAGTTTTCACATAAACTTACATCTTTTTAGTAATAAACACAAAACTTATATTAAGGTTTTTTTTAACGAAAAGTTAACAAATAACATTAACTTAAACAATCAAACAAAACGTAATGTAAAAAAATTTTAATTGAAAGCATATAAGGTTACCCTTATCCTCTTTTTTTTCCCCAAACCTAAGTTTTGATTGCGTTCTCTTACCTTTAATAGAGGACAATGGCAACCTTAATAAAATCCACTTAGGATAATTGATTAGGGACTACTTATGGATTAAAAAGTTTTTAACTTGATTTGAGAATAAGAAGTTTAGATAAAATCTAGTTTTTATAGACTTTTCGGAGTAAGTTTGTAATAAAACACAATTGACAGATTAATTGACAGATAGCAAAAAGTTAAAAACTTCTGAATTAAAATTATTATCCGTTCGAGATAGTAGCGGATTAGTTATTAATAGTATGATAAAAAAATGTAATCAACTAGGATTGTATTTTTAAAGTTTTAAGACTATTTATTTAAAATAAATATCACTTTAATTTTTTTAATTGTTTAAATATATATTGTTTTCTATTTATTTTTAGACTTTTTGTTCATAATAAGTGTCACTTCAAGGTGTAAAATTATAAAAATACTCTTTAAAATTTTAAACCACTTGTCATAATGGTTGAAAGCATTTTGAGAAAAAGAGATTAATTTTTTATTAAAAAAAAAAATTTATTCTTTATTTTTTATTGAATTTTATTTATAAAAAAGAATTTTTTTTCGGTTACAAAAATAAACTTATTTACTTTTAAAATAAAAGTTTATAATTTTATATATGCATTACTTTAAAGTACTTATTTAACAAAAAGTATTTTTATTCGACATTAATTTTTTATTAAAAAAAAAAATTTATTCTTTATTTTTTATTGAATTTTATTTATAAAAAAGAATTTTTTTTCGGTTACAAAAATAAACTTATTTACTTTTAAAATAAAAGTTTATAATTTTATATATGCATTACTTTAAAGTACTTATTTGACAAAAAGTATTTTTATTCGACATTAATTTTTGACACCTTGAAGTGATGCTAATTTTAAACAATCAGTCTAAAAAAACTTGCCAGTATCGCGTTATCTCGATATCGATATTGTAAGGTATCGCACCGATACTAGACGATATACCGAGACTCGATACCAAGTCTAAGAGTCTAAGGGATCCTCCATAGATTACGTAACGCAAACTTTCACAATAAACAAAACAAAAAAAGATCAAAAGTTTTCTTTTGCAGAGTCTTAATTTATATAAAAAATCAAAATAGCCCATTAAGTTTAATGAAAACCGCCGCGTAAAAGAGCTTAATATATCCTTCTTCTGTTTTTAAAATATATTTTGCGATGCGTAATTTACCGACGATCCCTAATGCTAAACTCATTTTTTATATACATTGATTTTTAAAAAATTTTGTTTAACTAACCAACAAGTACGTAGATGGAATTGATGATTCTGATGATGTCTAAATTTTCAGAATTGTTAAACAAAACTGCTCTAAAGTCTTATTTCTAAAATAACTTTGCAATATATTATTTGTTTTAGTCTTTAGTTTTCTTTTTTCTTCTACTATTTTCAATAATCTTTTCGCTTATTCTCTTAAATCAACATTCTACATCGTGTGCCATTTTCTTTTGAAAATGTCAAACACATTCTACTTTTTGTATATGAGCATTTACAGCATAAGATTTTGAAAATACAACCTTTTTGTATAATGAGGTATCTTTATACCCCACCAATAAACATATCTTAATGAATCATGAGAGGAAAGCTGGTAAAATATTTTATAAAAAAAAAACTAAATACAAAACATGACATTCAAATTTAAAAAAGGTCCACCGAACTAGAAAATAAAACGAATCTAGACAAAAAAAGAGACGAAAAATATTTGCAAAGCTCTTAATGTATAAATACAACAGTGACGGATCCAGAAATTTTTGGTGGGGGTGGGGTGGGGAGTTGTTGAGTTATTTTAATATTTTGTACCATATTTGTGTCTCCTTAAAATAAAAAAAAGTATCTCAATTTCAAATATTTTTTCAGAACCTTGATGCATCTCCCCCTGGATCCGTCACTGAAAGACAATGAAAAAATATTACATCATTGTAAACGATTAAAGCTTTTGAATGAACGGATTTATTGAAAGCAAAAAAAAAAAATGCTCTTTGTAAAAGCTAAAGAATTAAGATCCTCATGTAAGTGTGCAAAAATAGTTTATAACAATCTGATGACGCACAATTAATAACAACAACAATAAAAAAATTTCTTTAAATCTGTGCACATTAAAAAATAATTACAAAAATGACTTTCAACCGCTAACCTACAACTTTTACAAAATATACAGGCGGAGGAGTTTTAATATACAGTTGACTCTTGATATCTCGACTACTCGATATCTCGAACTTTTGTGTATTTCGAACTTTTTTCCCGCTCCCCTGAAAGTTCGAGGCATCGAGAGTCTTAAAAAAAATCTTAAAGACAACATTGCACATAAAGTTAAAATTAAATTTGAACTTTTCCGACGAAGATAAAGAGATCACAACAATTGAATTAATTCAATCAATCAATATACTTTTATAAAAGATCTTACAATCGAGGTAATTTACAAATTCACAAACTAATCTTGAGTAAATTCCATTAAATTAATAATGCAATAATGATAATAATAATGATTATGAAAAATTAGCAATTAGTAATAAGAAAATTATATAATAATAAACCAATATTAATTTTAAAATATCAGTTGAATATTATGCACAGACAGGAAAGCCTACAACACGGGTTTCAAAGTGGAGGGGCACAATCTTCAATTTTTAAAAAAAGGCTTTTGTATCTAGAATTTTCTTAGAAAAAAACAAAAAAAGTTCCTTCAGAAAAAGAGTAGGGGGGGGGGGCACGTGGCTCGCCCGACCCTCCCCAGTGTCATCGGCTCTAAAGTAACAAACAGTTATATACTAACAAAATGTAACAACCTAGCATGTAACTAAAATTACTGCAAAAAGAATAACAATGGTTTAATAAATGTAATAATCTTAATACCAATAATCACAATAAAAACAATAAAAGTTATATAAATATTTTGTTAAAAAATAACAATAAACAAATAATACTTGTGAAAATAAATTTTCAATAACACTCACAAATAAAAACGTGTCACACGCAAACAAACATTTATTCACAAAAAGTGAATTATAAACAAAGAAAAAAAGATACTTATAAGCAGCTGCTACCAGTAACCTGACCAGTGACGGATCTATGGAGGGGGGACGGAACTATGCATCCCCCCTCCCCCCGCACCAGAATCTGAAAGTCTTATCTTGAAAATTAAAGACCTTTTTTAGGAGACGCAAATATGATACAGTTGACTCGATGTCTTGACTACTCGAACTTTATTTCCGGTCCCTTGCGCACTCGTTTGAGCCGAAAGCCTCTCAATATCTCGAATTCTCGATATCTTTAACTTTTTTCCCGGTCCCCTAAGAGTTCAAGATATCAAGAGTCAACTGTCCAAAATTGAAAAATATTTTAACATTCCCCATCCCCCTATTCCCCACCAAAAACTTCTGGATCCGTCACCGCACCTGACGGTGCATGCGAATTTTAGCTCTTATTTGGAACATAATGTAATTCACGCTAGTAACAACGAAAGAAAAAATACTTTATAATTGAGGATTTTAATGTTTTATTCTTTTATTGTTCTATTCAAAACGAAGACAAAAAAGTGAGAAGTTTTTATGATGAAATTTTTTTAGCTGGCGAGGTTCCCCTAATCAATCATCCAACTAGAGTAACAAAAAGTTCTCCTACCGTCATTGACAGTATTTTAACTCTAACTCTTAACACAACATTATCAAATAAAATTAAACAAAATAGAACTGTAAAATGACGTATTTACAACGACAAAATAATTAATTAAAACATCAACTATCATTACTTCATCAACTTTAAAGACGATGCGAGTAACATTTATAAAAAATTTATTTGAGAAAATTCTTAAAAATCTAAAAAAAAAATATTATTACACTAATTTAGATTAGATTAGATTAAAATTTATTAGAACAGTGATACATGTTCTAAAGAACACGCAGGTCCATAAAATATGAAGGACTCTATCAACGTGCCCTACAATCACATAATACATATGCTAGATTATCTAGCATAATAATATAGTAAATTGTCTAGTAGATAATTTACACAGTATATATATATATATATATATATATATATATATATATATATATATATATATATATATATATATATATATATATATATATATATATATGATATATGTATATATATACCATGTAGTTATGTCCTAAGGCGACGAGTTTCTCGTAGTTTCAAACCAAGAATATTAAATTATGAAAAATTTCTGAAGCAACTCTCTTAGTAAAACCTCTTTGCACTCTTTCCATTTCTTTGTTTATTTCAGTGCGGTTTGGCGACCGAATCGGAGAGCAATGTTCTAAGATCAGTCTTATTTAGGTAGTGTAGGCTATTACGATAACATTTGGATCGTAACTTTTAAAACACTTAAGGAAAACAAATATCCTCGGATCTTTGATGCGCTGACGATATTTGAAATATGATTATTGTAATTTAAGTATAAACCCATGGTTACACCAAGATCTTTT